AGGCAGTAGGGAACTTTCTTTTTTTGGGGGGTGGAAGGAACTTTCAAGTATGGGCTGTTGAATTCATCAACATTTCTAAGGTTAAAAATGAAATTTCTAAACCTGAATCTTTTGTTCATACCTGTGCAAAACCTTAAGCATTTCACAGTGAAAGAAATGTCTGTGTAAGAAAATAAAATTTGAAGGTCAAAAGCAAAAGCTTTTTAGAAAGGCTATGGAAGACTTGGCAAAATTGTAAAGGCTTCTTTTGGTACTCAGAGCCCAAGTGAAGAGCAGAATATAATTCACTCATCAAAATACGACTGAGGCTGTCTGTAATCTTTTTTTCCGTGTCTCTCTGAGATATTTTTATTCCATCTCTAGCCATCTTCATTCTCATTCTCTCTCTGTAACTATCTCTAGCTTCCCATAATCTTTCAACCTTTTTCTCTCTGCATACTTGACTTTGTGTCTATATTTCTCTGCCCTATCTTCCTTCTCTCTCTCACTCTCTGTCTTTCTCTCAGATCATTTTTGTTTTTCCATGTCTCTTTCTACCTCTATCTCTTTCTACTTCTGTTTTTCTTTTTTCTATGTCTCCTTCCTTTCCTTGTTTCTACCTTAATTTGCCTTCTGTTTCTCTCCTTTAACTGGTTCTAATATAGAACTGAAATATGATTGTTTTTTTTATTAACTGGAGTCCTATATTTTCTCTTTTTATAATTAAGCACAATACCTTACACACAGTAGGTATTTTACTGGATTCTCAAAGGTTTGGATTGGATGGTAATAAGGAAATGAGGGCATTTCCTATTTTTTCTTTTTAAAAGAATGAAGTTGCCTTTTACTTATGTGACCTTTCCTTTTTTGTTGTTTGTTTTGTTGTTGTTGTTGTTTACTGTAGCTAGGATGTTTTCCTACTTTTGATTTAGGCATTAAAGGGTTAGGACAGCATCTCCTCACTTGTTCTGGGGACCCCTGACCTTCCAGCAAATGTGAATAATGGTTCTGTGAGAAATTTTCCATACTAGTGATATCTTCCTGCTAATATTTTAATTATATAGGTATCACAAATACATATTGCATGTGGCAGTTTTTCAATATGAAATTAATCTCAATTCTCTCTATTTTGTTTTTAGATTTCTCAACCTTTCCTAATCTCAGGTATTTTATAGCCCCCTCAATCAGCATTTGTGAGTTCCATCACTCTATCTCAAGCTCCAGAGTGCTCCATTGGCCAAATTAATTTGCAAAATGATGAACCCAAGATGATAAGGATCTCACTGAGTCATGAGTTCTTATTGGTGATCCAGGCAAGCAGTCCAAGGCAAAAGCTAAAGAAGAGAAATCAGGTGAGCCTCTGAAAATTCACGATTGTTAATCATAGGAGCTACAGGACTGGAAAATCATGACCTGTCAACAGTTTAGTGAAAATTTTGTTTTGCAGTTGGGAATGACCAACTCTGTGTTAACATATTCTTATGGAGAACTTTCATAGGGTGATAGATTTGGATCTAGAAGTTCTTAATAAGTGTCTGAGATAAGAATTGAGCCCAAGTCTTTCTGACTTTCTGTCCAGCACCTATCCATTCTGTCATGCTACCTTTTAAATTTGTGAAAGTATCTATATCTGTATCATCTTTCTATTATTATTTATACCTATACCTATATCTAAATATATATATTTATATGGCTATTTAAGCTTAAAACTGCACTAAGAAGATTTCTGTATATCTGTATATCTATGCATATGAGTGTGTATCACCTTTCTACATAAGTCCTATAGATCATATGTGTGTGTTCGTTATTTATGCAGATGTATCTTCAGATTATGTGTGAGAGACTTGCATGGCTCATCCCTTGTGTCATTTTTTTATGAGGTAAGAAAAAGAGAACATGTAATTGCCTTAATTACTGTGGATTCTTATACCTTTAAGTGAAGGAAGTAGGCTCAATTTCACCAATGAATTAGGCAATGTGGACATCTGCTCTAGTTCAACCAGTTAAACCAGTTATAGAACAAATGGGTTACTGAATCACCTTTTCCAACACCATCTAGTGGGTAACTGTCAGTTATTCTGCAAAAAAAGTCTCCATCTGGTGAAATAGATTCTGAGATTTGGCAATTTCCAATTCATTAGTCCTTCCTCTCTTCAATTACCTCACTTCAAGAATAAGAAGGTTCTTGGAGGGCATTTAGTTCAATAGTTTGGCAAATATTGATTTAGCTACTATTATTTTCCAAACCCTTTCCTAGGTACTCTGAGGAATGCAAAGATAAATAAGACAGCCTTTGCCCTCATAGAGGTTATAGTCTAGAAGAGGAGAAGGGGAATACACAAATAGCCACAATATAAATCAGAGGTTTAAGGAAAGTACTAAGAGGCTGAGAATTCAGTTTGGCATTAGGCAACATGTAGTAGTAAAATAGTAGGGGGTAATATAAGAAATATATATATTTTGGCCTTTTTTTTGGAGGCTCTTGAACATCACAATAGCATTTGGATTTCATTCTGCAGGCAATAGCAAAACTTTGAAGGCTTTTGAGCAGGTAAACAACATGATTAAAGTTCTGGAGGTATTGCATAGTATGGAATAGAAGGAAGAGAGATAGGAGGCAGGGACACCAGTTAAGAGGATATTTGAAATAGCTGAGAGGCCATAAGACATGTGCAGGGAATGTTGCAGAGATAGAACTGATAGAATTTTGCACCTAATTGGGTATGGGATACAAAGAAAAGGGAAGGGTAAAAGATTACTAGAGGTTTAGTGCACAAGTGACTCAGAGAGTAGTGGGAAGCCAGGAGGAGGAACTGATTTGGAGGATGGGGAGGAGAAATGAACTTGGTTTTGGATATGATGAGTTTGTGGTATGATTAGGACATCAAATCGGAGATGCTTAATAGGGAATTGAAAATAAGAGATGGAAGTTCAGAAGAGTAAACCATGAGAGTGGATGCGAGCCCGAAGTGAGGAAGTATAGATAGAAAAGAAGGTTAAGGACAGAATCTTGGGGAAGATGGACATTTGTGGGAAGAGGAACCAGGGAAGGATGTAGCAAACTATTTCAAGATGTAAACAAGGTATACAATATCTCATACCTATAAGAAAGCATTAAGGTTTCTAAAGCACTATACATATATATATGTATGTGCATGTGTATATAAGTATATGTATATATATACATATAAATAAAATCTCATTGAATCCTTAAAACATTTTTCTGAGGTAGATGCTTTCATTTATCCTTATTTTATAGTTGAGGAAACTGGGGCTCAGAAAGATTAAACAACTTGCCTAAGATCACTCATGAAAAAGTATCTGAGGCAATATTTAAACCCTAACTTCCTGATTTAGAGTCCAGAGCTCTAGCCACTGTGCTCACTTGGCTCAGGTTGCACATACTTGTGGATAATATAACTGGAAAAAGAAAGGAACAATATAGTTCAGTTAAGTTCTGCTTTAAAGGTGAGTAATTTGCTAATGTGAGTGAAATCTCAGCTTTGATTATGATAGTTATTTTCATATAATGTTGGCTGAAGCCAAATTCTGTCAGAAAATTTAAGCTGGAAATATAAATGTCCTTGTAAAACTCAAATACTTAATCCTTTACTGTTGCCACTGATAACTTTTAGTGAAGGTTGAAGATCATTAATGAATGTGATACTTTTTCTTCTCTAGATATAAACAGAAGCTGGCTTTTAGGAACATAGATTTCCAGTTAATACTAGAAGCAAGTCATTGACCAGTATTTGGAATTTGCAATAGTTTCTCAAAGTTTTAAGTGACCTATCTTGAATAATTAGGTGAGAGAGAACCAAGAACCTTTCTCTAAGTAACTGGTTCATTATGGTGGTGTGGTATGGTGGAAAGAATTCTACCTTTGTAGACACAGGACCTAAATTCCAATCTTGTCTTTGTCACTACCTTTGTAATGCTGACCACTCACTTCACCACTCTGGGCCTTGGTTTCCCTTTCTGTAAAAGGAGGGGGTTGAGTAAAATGGCTTCTGAGATCCCTTGCAGCTCTAACCCTGTGAAAATTATTTTTGCTTTCTTCTAATCATGTCTCTATATCTGAACAGGAACAATTTACAGTTTGATTAATTTTAATAGATTTAATTATCTGCTATATTCCATATATATATATGTGTGTGTGTGTATGTGTGTGTGTGCATGTATATGTGTGTGTGTGTATATATATATATGTGTGTGTGTGTATGTGTGTGTGTGCATGTATATGTGTGTGTATATATATGTGTGTGTGTGTGTGTATACATATATATATATGTATGTATGTATGTATGTATGTATAGGTACACATTCATCTCAATCTAAATAGTCTACCAAACTGGAGAAATGGATTAGCTTTCTTTTGGACAATCCCTCCTCCAAACCTGTCAGAGTACTTTCCTCTTAAGATTTAGGACTACTCAGTCTCAGATGTGTAGGTCAGAGAATTTGGCTATGAGAAACTAAAGGGAAAAAAATCCTAACTAAATATCAAGAATATAGGCAACTCTGATCTTCAGATTCCTAGCTCAAGCACAAAGGGAACCCAGGTAATTTACACTGGATGCTTAGGACTGATTGCAAAAAGAATTATCTTTCACTTTCCTCTGAAATGGAAGGTAATGGTTCTAGGCTGTTTCTTTAGCTTTGACAATATACCTTGTGTATGTTGAGAGAAGAAGAAGAACTACATTCTATCACCCTTACATAAAGCCTACAAGAAAATTTTCTTCCTTAAATTAATGTCTGCTCAGTCTTAGACTTTTAAGTCAGAGAATTTAGCTGTAAGAAACTAAAGGAAAAAGAAAACCTCAAGTATTTCCCAACCAAAGACCTATGAAGAATTGCTAAACCCTCATCCATTGTTTCTAACCACCATGACACGCAACCAAAACAAATAATAACCAAATACTCCCTTTCATATTTTCAAAAATCAGTTAATTCAAAGAACACAAACAATGAGAGACTAGACTTAATCATCATAATTCAGGTTCTGCATGAGAACTTACCATACATATGTGGAAAGCATCTTGTTTTCCTTAAGAAGAGAGAGCTTTTCACTCTCAAGTGACAGTTGTCCCTCAACTACAACCTTTCAAATAATGAGAACTCAGCCTAAGTGGAAGCTCATCTGCCTCTTCCTGAGTCCTCTTCCTGGCCCTTGAGAACCGTTTCCGTGTGTTCCAAGTTAGTCAGCTCTCAAATCATGTTTTCTTCAATGAGAAAAAGCAAATATGTAGTCAAACATTTACCAGTGAAATGAGATCATATGACTTCTTCCTGATGAAGTAACAATGCTTGCTGTTCTTTTGGGTTCTTCCCATTTTCCCACTGAAAAAGCAGGAACTTCAACTGATTCTCCTCCTCCATCACATAGTCCAAAGTGAAACTATGATTGAAACCCAAAGACTTCCTTTCCGTTACAAGGGAATGAGCATAGATTTAGAACCTCAGTTCCAATCCTGATTCTGCCACTTACTGGTTATGGACAAATCACCTCATCTTTATGGACCTCACTTTCCTCATCTTTAAAATGAGAGTGTTGGACTAAACGATCTCTCTAGTCCTTTCCAATTCTAAATCTAGGATTGTATGAAAAGAAAGAGAATTACCAGTTCCACTGAGCCTGTGAGCATTGAGAGCCATCTTAGCATGGACAAATGGCTCAGATCAAAACCTGAGTCTTACTCTAAAAGTTGCTAAATAGATATATACTTGGAAACTGTATCAGCCTATCTGGAAATGAAATGAGAAAAGCCAGAGTAATTCTATTATTTTTCCTCCAGGGTATTCAGAAATTGAAGATAGGATCAATAGAGGTGCTTCTGTGTTTTTTTCTTCTGCAGATTCTCCATATGAAATGCTAACTCAGATTCCATAGGAGTGGAGTATAAACTCTTTTTTTTTTGTAGGTAATTGGGGTTAAGTGACTTGCCCAAGGTCACACAGCTAGTAAGTGTGAAGTGTTTGGTCTGAGGTGGGATTTGAACTCAGGTACTCCTGACTTCAGGGCCAGTGCTCTATCCACTGTGCCACGTAGCTGCCCTGGAGTATAAACTCTTAATTCACTATGTGGCTCAGTGGATAGAGCACTGGAGCTCAAGTCCTGAGTTCAAATCCAGCCTCAGATATTTATTAGCTCTGTGACCCTGGGCAAATGACTTAATTTCACTTTGCCTCTGTTTCATTATTTGTAAAACTGAAATAGTAATAGTACCTGCCTCCCCAGGTTGTGGTAAGGATAAAATGAGAAAATATTTGTAAAGAGCTTTGCAAATTTTAAAGTGAATACTAGTTATTATTAAATGTTAGTTATTACAATGCCCTACTTATTAATATAGTTATATATCTATATTTATATGTGTATACATATATTCCAGAGCAAACAACATTAATTTATTTACATTCCTCAGAATGAAGAAGTATAACACTTGTAGTTACAAAATACTAAGATGCAAAACCATATCCTCTTATGGGGATCAAGAAAGGGTCATAGAAATACAGACACAAGTATCATGAAAATCAATGCAAAAGTAAAAGGTTTATTAGCCCTGTTGCAATCCCTAAGCTTAGATTATTTCACATTGTCTTCCATTTTTCCATTTTTGGGGTTTATTTTATTGTTTCTTGATTTCTTATAAAGTCATTATCTTCCATTTGCTCCATTCTAATTTTTGAAGAATTATTTTCTTCAGTGAGCTTTTGGACCTTCTTTTCCATTTGGCTAATTCTGCTTTTTAATGCATTCTTCTCCTCACTGGCTTTTTGGATGTCTTTTCCATTTGGCCTAGTTTGTTTTTTAAGGTGTTATTTTCTTCAGTTTTTTTTTTTTTGTGTCTCCTTTACAAAGCTGTTGACTTGATTTTCATAATTTTCTTGCATCACTTTCATTTCTCTTCCCAGTTTTTTCTCTACCTCTCTTCCTTGATTTTCAAAATTCTTTTTGAGTTCTTCCATGGCCTGAGACCAATTCGTATTTTTCTTGCAGGCTTTGGATATAGGAGTTTTGACTTTGTTGTCTTCTTCTGAGTGTGTGTATTGATCTTCCTTGTCACAGAAACTTTCAATAGTCAAGAGTTTTTTCTGTTGTTTGCTCATTTTCCCAGCCTTTTAGTTGACTTTTAAGTCTTTGTTAAAGTAAGGCTCTGCTTCCTGGGTGGAGGGTGCCCTGTCTCAAGCTTCAGGGGGTTTGTGCAGCTGTTTTCAGAGATACTTCTAGGGCCCTGTAAGTTTTCAGTTCTTCCAAGGTAGTATGACCTAAGAAGTGTTTACTACTCTCCTGGACTGTGCTCTGGTCTGTGAATGACCACAAGTACTCTTTTCTGCCCTGGAGCTGTGAGCAGGATCCCACTTCTACTGCTGCTACAATCTCTGCTGTGCTAGTGCTCCTCTTTTCCCTGGGACTGCCACCCAGGACTGCAACCCGGATCTGAGTATGGACAAAGCAACAGAGTCCTGCCTCAGTGGTAGCAAAGAGACCCCTGCAATCTCCTTCTGAACAGTTGTTCAACGCCCTTGCCATCTGTGGGCTGAGAGCTCTGGAAGAAGCCGCTGCTGCTGCTGATTCCGTCACTCCTGAGGCCTGCTCCTGGTTTGCTATGGCCAGGGCTGTGCTGGGGTGGCCTGCACTGGAATGTGCTACTCTCCCACCCTGGTGAGATGGACCTTTCCTGTTGGCCTTCTAAGTTGTCTTTGGCATCTGTGGCCTGAGAGGTCTGGAAACCACCCCTGCCGCCGCCACTGATTCAGTCACCTTGAGGCCCAGTCTTCACTGGCCTGGCCTGCACTGGACTGTGCTCCTCTCTCACCCTGGTGCAAGATCTTGCTGACCTTCCAAGCTGTCTTGGGCTGTAAATTTGTTTCACTCTGTCTTTTTGAGGGTTCTGTTGCTCTAGAATTTGTTTAGAGCCATTTTTAAAGGGATTTGGAAGGATTTGGGGGAGAGCTCAGGTGAGTCCCTGTCTTTACTCCACCATCTTGGCTTCACCTCCCTCAGCTTAGATTAAATTGAAAAAGAGGTGGAATGGAAGAGCTACTAAAATCCAAAGATGCAAAAGTTGAAAGACTTGAGGTCACTGAAAATCAAAGCAAATTCCCCAAATTAAATCTAATAATGACATAGACGATAAAAACAGCACTGATATCTCAAATATTCTTTAAAAACAGATTGTTGTTGTTGAGTTGTGTCTTACTCTTTTGTGAACCCATTTGGGAATTTCTTGGCAAAGATACTGGAGTGGTTTGCCATTTCCTTCTCCAACTCATTTTACGCATTAAAAAACTGAGGCAAACAGGGTTAAGTGACTCCCAGGGTCACATATCTAGTAAGTGTCGGAGGCTAGATTTGAGCTCAGGTCTTCTTGACTCCAGGCCTGGTGCTCTATCCATTGTGCCGCCTTGCTGCCCGCCAAAATAGGTAGACATACTTATATAACTATGTCTGTGTTTTTTGGGCAGGGAAGGTTGGTCCCTCCATCATGCCATCAATTCTTTTTTACTTTTTGCCCTCTTATATTGCCATTCTTCCTCCTCGAAGCATGACAGTCTGAAGGCTAATTGTCAAGGAGAGCTTGATGAAGACACTGAAAAATCAGTCTTTACTCAAGTCAATGAGCATTTATTATGTACCTACTATATTCCAGGCAGGGCAGCTAGGTGTTACAATGTACAGAGCGCTGGACCTGGAGTCAGGAAGACCCGAGTTCAAATCAGACCTCAGACAGTTACTAACTATGTGACTTTAGACACCTACTTGCCTCAGTTTCTTCATCTGTAAAATGAACTGGAGAAGGAAATGGCAAGCCACTCTAGTGTCTTTGCCAAGAAAACCCCAAATGGGGTCATGAAGAGTCAGACACAACTGAAACGAGTGAACACCAAAATATGTCAGGCACTGAGCTAAGTGCTGGGGATAAAAATACAAACATAATCACCATCCCTTACTTCAAAGAGTTTGCATTCTAAAGGGAAAAACAACACACACAGAAGAAACTCATCATGAGAGAAAGGGGCCAAAGTGTGTATATGTATATATATACACATGTTTTAAGATGTTTCATTGATAGTCTTTTTTTTTTTGGTATCACTAACACTACCACTTCCTAACTCCTCCCAAATAAAAGCCCTCCATTGTAACAAATAAGTATAGTGAAGCAAAACAAATTCAAGAAAACCCTAAACAAGGTCACAAAGAGTCAGACACGACTGAAACAACTGAACAACAACAAAAAAAGTGTGATGTGTGTAAAGAAAATCAAGTAAAGAAAACCAACTGATACTGAAGCCCCATTTGAAAGTATAATGTTGGAATAGTCCCCCCCTCCTTTTTTGGTTTGTTAATGGTGTTGAATTAGTGTTTCTATAACTTCAGACAAAATGAGTTAATAAAGGTTTTACAGGCTGCTTGTCCACAGTGAAATGAACATGGTAATCACTGACCAGAGAATCAGCCCAATAAAATAAAAAGGATCAAAGCACACCACAGGGATCAGTTATCCAGACTGATCAATGTTGCAGTGTGAGAGTTAAGGAGGCCAGGGATCTCTCCTCAACTGCCACAGGAAGCCAGACAGTAGACAGAATATCAATGCCCATCCACAAAGAACAATCATGTTCCCATTCATTATAGATTCAAAATACACCTACATATCATCGACAACATCATTTACCTAAATGTAATAGAAGTCATATAGATTGGTGCTCAACTGTAAAAGTGGCTCAAATAACTTTTTCTCTTACTCCCTCTATTTGTTAATTTTTTCATCTATCCTCCTTTCTATCTTCATAAACCAAAAATGTCTTTAGTATTAGGCACTGTAAAAAGTAGTTGAAGATAGTCCCTATAATTAAACTACTGATATCATGGCATAGCATCAATACAGGCTAGACTTATTCTGCACATACCACATGTTAATAATAACAATTACTAATAACAAAATAGCTAACATTTGTATGGTCCTTTAAAGTTTGAAAGCAATGTTATTTCATTGTATCTTCACAACAATCCTGAGAGGAAGGTATTATTATCCCCACTTTACAGATAAGGAAATTGAGGCATGCACCCATTAAGTGATGTGCACAGACTCATTTAGCTAGTCAGTATCCATGGCTAGAGGCTTTGAACTCAGCTCATTTAACTCCAGGTTGTCAACAATAGTAAAAGAATATATACACGAAACAATAAAAACAATCGCTTTGGAAAAAAAAAAAAACTAGTTACACACACATTTCCATATAAGTTATTGTTGTGCAGTGATGTTGTCCTAAATTAAAACTTGGGGACTTCACTGTCATGATTAAAGGAAAATACACTACATCAACTTTTTTTTTTGAGACTGCTCTCCCTAT